TTCATCATCATATTCAGATAGGTTTTAAGCTTATTTTTAATCAATCGATAAAGGTGAAGACGTACTTACAAACAGTGGTGGCGTCAGCAGGGGGGGGGGGTGACGGCAGGGTGGGTATATTCCCACCCGTCGGACAGGCCTAGACCCCCCTGTCGTCCGACGAACGACTGGTCGTCGGACCAAAAATTTAAAAAATAATAATTTTCCTTTCCAAATAACGCTATTTTGATTGCAACCCCAAATATTGTGGTCTAAAAGCATATTTAGGACCAAATTAAGCCATAAAAACTCTCCCAATGAACCCCAACAGGAATTTTTATCGGGCCATTCATGTAATGCAATTAAAATCTCAACATTAACGAAAATAGTATAGCTCTTCCGATCCTATAGTATATTATTTTCACACGGAGTACGAGGCTGAAGTTGACTAAAAAGCCCTTGGAACCTCTGCAATATCAGAGCTCCAATCCAACTGGCTCCTAACCAGTTGTCCATATTTTCGCAGCTCTACATTGACATTTTTGTCAAGCATTGACATTTTTCCCAGCAGAAGACACTAAAAGCTATAATAAATACCGGTATTAATTGTTCCCTGATATAACTCTGAAATTTCCCTATGTGCACAAAAGCTTAACATTATTATTTTCAATATTATAATGTTTTCTATGGTTTTCCGTTCTAATTTGACATATTGTACATTGTTTCTATATTTTACGTAAAGAGGTTCCCACCCTTGGGCCATGGTTCCCTCTTGACTTTATTGTCGAATTTGTAATAAATAAATAAATAAATAATATCAGCAATGCAGTGGTGGCGCCTAGATTTGCCCAACGGGAGGGAGGGGTGGTCCGAGGTCCTCGGCAGGGGAGGGGGCGGCGATGTCCTCGACGAAAAAAGGTGGGCGGTCGGACGTCCTTCAGAATCTATCGAAAGTGTTCCAAAAATATGAAAATTTAGGGGTTTCAAAAGCTTATTTAATCAGTTTTGGTGTCTCTTAACAGGCGGCATTACGGGGGAAAGGGGATTTTCCCCAGATATTTTTCTTGCCCACCCAGTTTCCACCTTCATCTCCTTCCCAATTTTGCCGAAAAAATTAACATTGTAAGATTGGCCACTAAAATGAATTGCTCCCATCGGTCTGTCTGTCATTTCATGACCACTGGCCACTTAAAAACAATGTAGGCCTATTTAACTTTTCACATTTGTAATAAATATACTGAGCATTTAAATAAAAATAACAAGCACATGGATAGAAATGTTACCCATTAATGTGTGTTGTGATAAATTATAATTCTATCTCCGGTCTGCTATGCAAAAACATATTTCCTCCATAGATTTTTTCCTTACACCGACCGTTGCCACCGATGACTCGTTACGCCACTGGGAATTATCTGCTCTTTATCCTGGATCGAGTAGACAGTAATCAATGCCTATGTAGTCAATTTGATGATTGTATGCTCTATTGTGTTGAAATGGATCAATAAATACGGTAATTATTCAGTAGGCCTAAGTACACATGAGCCCCAGTTATGTTATTGCTATACGGTTGGAATGGCATTTTTAATGTGCTGCTAGCGTAGTGTTCACACAGCCGTAAACTCGGAAGTACCTACAAGTTGAAACTAACAACATACTGTACTGGAAATTTGTACCTGATGAAATTGAAAGCAAATCTGCAAGAATGTATACTGCTTCCATTACGATTTTACTGATCTGTTATGGTTATCAAGCTTCTTCAATGGAAGAAACACCGCTAATTCTCTCTGGTCCATTCAGTGTAACAATAAAGGAAGGAAACAGTGCTAAGCTGACCTGCACTTTAAATTATCATCCTACAAATCTAATATATACAAGGTGGATGAAAAATGCAACTGCCATCAATATTGATGATAAGCACTTCACTGAGAAATATTATGTTCAGACAAGAAAATTCACTCTCGATATTGAACCAGTGAAACGCTCAGACAAAGGATACTATCAGTGTTACATAGAGACAGAAGCAAAGAACAAAACTTCAGAAAAAGCTTGGTTGACAGTCAATGAAACAACAGGGGAGCCATATCCTATTTGTGAAATATCAAAGCCTATATACAACTTGTGTGAAACGGTACATGTGACCTGTTTGACGGAGAAAAAGTCACCTCCTGACACCTTGACATTTTTTGCAAATGTAACAACAGCTTTAAACATGAGAAGCAGGTATCCCTTTTTAAAGAGTATTTCTCAGGATTCGACTTCACAGTATTCTTCAAAACCGATTAATACAATGTATCAGTGTAGTAATGAAACACACCGATGGATAACTTCAGAATTCAAAGCGGATAAAACACTTAACAATTCACAAATAACATGTAAAATGTCGAATGACTATTCAGACAGTCGTCGGTGCAACGAAAACCTAAAGATACTTCCAGAAGGTACGGTAGACTACAATAGTAGGAAACATTTTCAAATTCATTCAGTAGCACGAGTTTTTATTTAGTCGATAAGCTGAAGGAAGGGTGCTGTCAAGGCCCCGGTTTAATTGGACAAAGTTCTGGTAATGTAGGAATCTGAGAGACTTCCAAGTGGCATAACGATATGGGCCGGGGGCAATATGACTTTCTGAGAGTGCTGGTCATTTGGGTCCCGGTCACCAATTCCATTGTGGGATTTTAGATGTGCTCGTTTTTTTTTTTATTATTATGTTTGCCATTGCATTAAATGTTTTTAACGATAAAATAAATTATATGATATGAGGGAGAATCCATGAATGTTTAATATAGAGTCCAGGGAGAGACTGTCACTGATAAAGGGTCAATAGCGCCTCAGTTGAGGCTGAGGTAACAAAAATTCATGATTACGCTGAGAGCAGCTTAGCTCAGTCGGCTAATAAATCTGGTGGTAGCCACTGTGTGTGCGCTGAACCGTGAAGATCTCTGGTTCCCGGTTCAATTCCCCTGTGTTTCAGCTAGAGGGCTGAAATACAAGTTACAATCTTCCGGATTAAACCATGACATCTTATCATGGTTTAATTGTACAGTAATTAATTCGCCCATTAACTTGTCACTGAACTTATATTTTGTGGTCCAATCAACTAATTGTATTGATAACTTGATTCTGATTGGTTTATTATTCTTTATTTAAAAACGATCCATTGTGCACTCGTCATGGCATCTGTCTCTTATACACATCTGACTTGAACAGATATTGTCCACTTGCCTCACCGTGGTTGGTGGCCTCTAGATGGCCAGAAATGGCACTCTCAAATTTAAATTTGAATATATTTTCTGTTTTCTAATTTTGAAAAAAATAAGAGGGTGGGGCCCCTGCCGCCTGGAAAATTCCCCCTGTCCCCGCTTCCCCCACCCTTGGCGGCTGGTTTTATTCAACTGCATTTCGCTCGCGGGTGTCTACTGTAGATTATTTTACCAATTTTTTTCCCTTAACAGGCTTTTAGATGCTTCAACGCAGCAGTTTGGCGATGTGGCACAATAAACTGTTGGATATTAACTCATTGAATATTTTGAAAATTAACAATGTCCCCCTGATTAGACTTTTTCGGACTTTCAGTATGTTACTTTGTGTGTATTTCTGGAACAGATTCCACAAAAATTATTTTGTTGCGATCGGTTTTGGGTCAATTCACAGATTGACTGGACTATACCGTATCTGAGAGTGCCATTTCCGAACGCAGAGGTGCCTATTCATAAAATTAAAGACTCCCTATTGTTCCCCCTCCCCGCCAGAACATTTCTGGATCCGCCTCTGCTGGTGTTGGCTAGCATTTCTACTACTGTATTCTGTTTTACATTTTTTGATGTTTTTCGTGTGTTGAATTGAAGACGATGATGAGAAAATCTCACAAAAACTCTGCTTCAAAAACAACTGAGTTGTTAGATCATCTATTTCAAATACAGTACTCATCGACTTGTGCACCCAATACCATATTCCCCCAGCAGAGAATCCTGAAAATATCCAACCTTATTAATTTTAACGAAGGTATTTTCATGTTCTTGGTTAAAACTGCGAAGATATCGTCACTTCTTATAGACACCCTTCCTTTCTACTGATAGACCACTCGTATTCAACAAGCTTTCTCTTTCCATCTCCCTTCTCTACAGATTAACTCTGTTCGGAAAAATATTTTGTTAAATGGTCCTAAATATTGGCTTGATCTTCCAAATCAAATTAAAGCTGTAAATGTAAACTGAATTGTCTGCTAGAAAAATATCGTTTTTATGTTAATGTTTGAAGTGCTGTGTAAATGTTTAAGCAGAAGGTACCAGATGTAGTAAAGCTTACAGGGCTCTCAAATTCATGTTAGAATTTGTAAATGAATGATGTATTTCATGTATGTCTTTGATTAATACAAATGAATAAAGATTGATTGATTGAACCTGTTGTGCTCATGTTGGTTCTCTATACCTGTTTTGGTGAAAATCGTATAACTGTATTTTAATGTACATTTTTATTATTATTTAAATGATTTGATATTTATTTGTGATACATCTATTTCTTTATGACTGTTTTGTGATTTGATGTTTGTCTATATTCAGCAAAATTGTCATGCCAAATCCACCACCCCAAATGTGATCAATGGTATGCAGCTGAGGCTGAATATCTTCTCCAGTATTCCTATTATGAATGGGATTAGGTTTGACCATTGGAGCGGTCCATGGTTCTAACTTGTTCCCAAAGAGCAAAGATCTTATAACAAGATAGCGTTCTCCATGGTTTGTGTGTAACAAATAGAAGCATCCAATTCATGCAGAAAACAATAGAAAGTAATTGTAATTGAGAGAGTGCGTCCTAGTTGTTACTATGGCGGTTGTTCCAGAATTTGCATGGAGATCATAGATGTCAATTCCAAAAGTAATTGAAATTGCAAGAGGGCGTCCTACACTGCATTATTACAGAATTTGCACCCAGAAATCACGGAGAACGGTATCTTCTTGTTTTAGGATCTCTGCCAAAAAGTTATGGCCATGAGTTGCAAAATAATAAATAATCTAATTTAATAGTTTAATATACATCAAACTTTAATCTCTCAGTTTTTTTTGTGATAACTTTTATCATCATCAGTGTAATCATATTTTTTCTGTCAATGGATATAAGCAGAACCCCGGACAAGATATTTAAAAAATACATATATCGCTCATACAGTATATTTTTTCAAATAATTAAATCGACAAGAAATTGACTTATAGGACTACAGTGCATTCACAAACCAGCACAGGCCTACACTTATTTAGCTTTGTCATCAGAAGTTATTAACATATTTAATCCTTTAAAATGAGTTATTATTTTTTCAGTGGTATTTTTTTTTAAATTATTTTATTTTTTATTATTAAGTGGTCATTAAATTCATACCACATCAGCAATAGTTTTTTTTTCATGGCTACAATAAACTCTACTCCCTAAGCCTCAGATTCAAGAATTTTGAAAATCGCTACTGCTGTTGGATGAAAATAAAAAAGGCACTTAACACATAAGTCGGTTTCAGCTAATGGAAGTAGAAGATTCTTATATTTTTACCAGTAGAGAATTTCAAGATAAAATAATATTACCTTTCTTCCGACAGTGGATTAATTAAACGTCATTATTACCTCCAATGGCCATTGCTAATCCACACACAAACAGCTTATTTAACCACTAACTCATGAGAAACTATGTCTCATTTGTAATTACGTAGCAACTCAAGGGGTCATAGGAGAAGCGTTCTCATCACGGACCTGTTTCAACCGATTCTCCCACCAAAATGTATGGATTCAATGAAAAGCAGCAGCTGTTAGTAAACAGCATTAAACAACATACAGCACTCAATCTACCTGTACATGAATCATTCTCTTAAGCTGGCCACTCACTGAAGCGTACGACGGTCCTACGACCGTTGTCCTGACGACCCAAACTCTATCTGCGAGTGCTAGATGACCCAATGCCGTTTGCTGATTGTCGGTGGCAGTTTGAACAAATTGTCATTAAAAACGATCCATTGTGCACTCGTCATGGCATTGCGTTCTACATTGAATCGTGTGGGCCACAAAGCTGCACACAAAGCTGCACACAGATAGCTTATTCAGCTTTTGTCTGATTAGTAATAGGAATGATGTGTTTGCCTGACATATAGGGCAAACACATTAAAGGCAATTAATAATTCTAATCGACTTGTAATTCCTGATCATCGAAATAACACTGTCTGATTAGTAACCATTTAGCAGTCATGAACTTGTTAGCTAATAGCTGTAAACAAGTTACAGCAAACCACTCTACATGGATCATCCTCTATCTTGGCAGGTGAAGACCATAAAGCCATGGAAGCCCACCAACGTTACCAGTCATCTTGTTCAACAATCCCACTGTGTTTCTTATTGTTTATTATCTTCATACCAGTTCTCCACAGTTACTGATGATCACCTTTGTAGTAGGTTTACCTGATGGAGTTCCCACCTTCTCGATTGCCTTCACTACACTCATTCCTTCAATTACCTCACCAAAAACTACATGTTTTCCATCTAACCTAAACATAGATAATAATAACAATAATTAAATAATAACATACAATGAGAGAACATGCTACTTTAACAGCTAATGAAGGTACCATGAAGGTACCAAAAGAAAATAAAGCCAATGACTTTGAAAACCTGTTTTCTATTAAAAAAAAAAAAATTATTTAGACCAGTTATTATTTTAGAAATTTAAAAAAAAGTTAAAACCTAAAAACAAATTATATTAAATAAATCATTACATTATAATCAAAAGCTGAAGACACTCAAACATTAGTAAAATTTACCATACATCATGATTATTACATTGAACAACTACTTGTATGACTCCAGCGAAAGGGAATCTCGGATGACAACTAATTGATAATCTGGAGTGACGGTTGTTGATGATTAATTTCAAATGTTTTCTTACCATTCCGTTTTTTCCGTCGTCAAAAAGAACTGAGATCCATTGGTGCCAGGTCCAGAGTTTGCCATCGATAACAAGCCTGGTTTTGTGTGTTTCAGGACAAAGTTCTCATCATTAAATTTCTTCCCATATATGGACTTTCCTCCGGTTCCATTGTGATTGGTGAAATCACCCCCTTGGCACATCTGAAAGAAATGCTTGCTAAGGAAATATGACTATTTGAAGCATGATTCATTGAATGGTGAGACTTTATGTGGTATTCATGTAAAGGTTTAATTATAAAAGGTGTTATCAAGGATACAAATTTTGGGATGATGCGGTGAAATATGCTTCCTTTGTAACCATATCCTTTTTCATGGGTGCACAAACAACGAAAATTTTCTGAAAAGGATTAAAACATGGTTGTTGGTATAAAGCAAAATACAAAAAGAAAATACTTATTAATGAGATGAGAAGAGATGTCTCTAGGATTTGCCTGATGGGAAGTCCCCTGTCTGTAACGGGGGGGGGGGGGGAAATATCCTTGATGAGAGTGTACATGGGCATGGTCGGGTGTTGCTCAAAACCTCTTGAAAGTGGTCAAAGTTGCGAATCCCCAAAAACTAAGACTACAGTATTTAGAGGGAGCTCTCCCTGATAGGGGAGTCAGGGAGCATATAGCATGAGACTCCTTCACAGCCCAGCAAGTACAGCCAAGAATGGTCAGTGTGAGTTTGGCATCATGACAACAAGTTTAAGAAAGCATCAAAATTACTTTCAAGTGATAAACATCATTCAATGAACTGCTTTCTGATAGAGCATAATATCTGATCCTGCTTAGCCTACCTGCAGTCATTGGGACCACGTCACTTCTCAGTAGAATTGTGATTCTGCCAATCTCCTTCTTTCCACATTTTATGTCGAAGTAAACCTGAGGATTGACCTTAGACCTCTTAGCTCCAGACCCTATTGCCTACAAAGGGGCACATATAAATATAATAATATTGAACATCATTCACTTTTGCAAAGTCAAGAAGAGGGAAAGAGAAAGGCTATGTTCTCACACAGCAGCTAATGGTTAGCAGGATCCGAATCCTGCTAACCGTTAGCTGCCATGCGTCCATGCAAGAAAATCCTGATCCGGATACCAACAATATGATCGAATCACTGGCCAACAAGAAACTGGAAATTGTAAACGCGTACGTGTGATTGGTTGATGATAGAAACGTCCTTAACTTGCTAACCGATAGCGCTTGCTAACTGTTAGCGTATCCGGATACCGCTAACAGTTAGCGCTAACTAATTGGGCATTCTCACACAGGTGCTAATGGTTAGCGCTAACAGTTAGCTCCCGATTCGGATACTAGGGCTCTCGTGAGAACCAGGCTATTGAATGGATCAACAATTTAAAGCCCTGTCCAGACTATCAGACTGTATTTGACAAAACCATCACATCATGACCATATGTATGCATACTGTATATGCACATCATGCCTATATATGGTATTTGATATTGTGGACAGAGCTTTAGGATAGGAGAATCATGAGGGAAAGAATGGTTGGCAAAACATGAATCGCACTGTGGTAGTCAATACAATATGCACTATAAATAATACATAGTACAATCACTACATTGTTGTATATTCCCCAATACATTAAAATAAATAGAAAAAAAACCAAAAAAAAAAACATTAAGATCTTTACATAACCTTGGTCCCCAGTTCAATTCCATCCACTACTTACTATACAGTGCACCCTCCAATTCAAGACAACTTTTTCAAAGTAAATAACAATTTTCCATCTGTTTACACTGAGCTAACCCTCTACTAGCTGAGACAGACCACCCTAAATTTACAGGTTCCAAAGGTGTTCCCAAATTGGAGGGCTAACTCTATTAGGTTTTGCCTGAAAGGTGAAATACAAGTTCAATGGCGCTCTATCTATCAGATGAGAGACGGTCCAATATGAGTCATGTGCATGATAAGGAACACAGTACACTCTTTGGAAAAGAGTAGAGGATTATGACCCAGTATACTGCCCCATTCTCAACTGGAATGACCCCACTGGAAATAACAATTTTGTGGGTTATATATTTCATACCAAAATATACACAATAACGAAAATAAAATTCTACCTCGTCTGCATCTTGAGCTGGTCTCTTGGTTCCACCACCTGTACTCTCATCACCTGTCTCATCGGTTTCCTCCTGTTTCTTTAATGTCTCACCTGCATGCTTCTTCAGCCAATTATCATCGGACCAAACTGAAAAAAAACCCAAAATTGATTCTGCTGTAAAAAGTCTTTGATCTTTGTATATGGTGTGTAAAGTCCAATTTTCAAAGAAAACCATTTTGAAATTAAATCTAATTCAAAACTTTTGTATGAATTTTGTATATATTTTGCCTGGATATTTCACACACATTAGATATAATTTTAATTTTTTTGAATATAGCAATTACACTTTTAACTGTAATTGATATTAACAGTCCATTTTAAGGGATAGCACAAAAGCTTATTCAAAATATGAAAAACATGTTTAGCTTCCACCACAAGTTTGATGTGGAAATATTCAAGTAAAATCAAAATCAATGAATGGTGTATGTTGAGCTTCCTAACTTAGGTTCAAACCTTTCATATTCAGATGTGTCCTTCAGTAAGACATATTATCTTTGCTCAATAACTTGGGAGTACATTCTTAAATACTGTAGGTGGTGGGTATTCTAACATTCAATTGAAGTTTTCACGAAGGTTTTCATCCATGGTGCTTGTTTACAATACATTCAAAATAGTGTTGTACACTGACATAGTTGACTGCACCTTTTATTGCTTTAACAATCATGTTTACATACAAGGCAATTATTTTTTGAAAAGAATATTACCCAGAAGGCCATATACTATGGAATTATTGAAGCAGAGATCAATGTACAATTCATTTTGTATTTTGCTGCTGTAGGGTTCACAAACGGAAACTACAGAATTTGTTGTTCACAAGGTAAAGGAAACTATTGTAGACAATATTTCTCTTACAGATAGAGCATCAGTTTAGATAGATTACTACTACAACAATGTGTACCATTACAAGTACCATACTTTGTTTTACATTTCTTGTTGGTTCAACCAATGGTGAATCTCTAATTGCAAAAGGCCCATCAGATGAGACAATAACTGAAGGAAAGAGCATTACATTTCTGTGCACTCTCAGTGATCAACCTGACGAGATGATCTGGATTAAAGACGGACAGCAAGTACCAGATGATGATCATCATCATTACAATGTGGACAAATCTGAGTTTGATATAAAATTTAAACTTCATATAATGCAAGTGATTCGCACAGACCGTGGATATTATCAATGCAAAATAATAACAGATGGACAGCCTCCAGAACTTTCAAAAAAGGCTTTGTTGACAGTGAATGAAATAACAGGGGAGCCATATCCTATTTGCGAAACATCAAAGCCTATATATGATGAGTGTGAAATGGTACATATGACCTGTACCACAGAAAATAAGTCACCACTTGACAAATTGGAGTTTTCTAAAACTTTATATAAAACTCTAGAAACGATCACTACATGCCAGTGCATTAATGGAACACACCAATGGGCTACCTTAGAATTCCTGGCGGAAGTTGAAGTTAACAATTCAGAAATAGTCTGCATAATGTCTAATAACTTCTCTACAGAAAAACCTAATTGCAACATGAAATTGCACATCAAGTCAGTGGAGCCCACATCTAAACCAGATGATAGTGAGCGTGATTGTCCAAATAAATTCACAACAGCTCATGTTATTGTTCCTCCAATATTAACAACAATAATGTTTCTTATTTTGATTGGTGTAAATGAAGCCAAACATGAAAGTATATTGACTCCTCTTTTCAAATGTATTTTTGAATGGTGGAGGCAGCCAAACCCTTAGCCGACAATTCACAATTGACTTTTTTGATGAACTTCATTCGATGACAACTTGACCAATGCCACCAGTTACAGGAGACAGTGAGCATAGTTGCCAAATTCCATCCAAAAAAACTTTATTTCAGTGTTTTTACACCAGTTCATAATAAAAATGTTTATTAGCTTTTAAATTATTGCCAATATAAAAGAGTATCATGAATCCTCTGCTGAGAAGGATAACAGTCAATTCGGTACCATTTAAAAAATATAAATCAATAGCAATGGAAGTAGACAAGCATTTTTTTCCCATAAATATATCAAGTATTTTGTAGAATATTGCATTGAAAGCTAAATTAATTCAGCAGGTAACTAAAGCACTATGTATGATGTATTGCAACATTCCAACATTGCAAGGGATTAATTCCAAAACGTGGATGATACTTCGTAAACCAAATGGACGAGGTTGAGTGAGCACTTTACTATTTAAGGCGAAAGTGCCTGTTGATTAATGGAATTTTAAAAAGTTTAAAGTTTCGGATAGAAACCAAAATTTGGACCACATTTCCGATGCGCTGAATACCAGTGTCCCTAATCTTACACACTGAATTGAATTTCAAATCAGTTTGGTAGGTCTTCCGATCAGAATATTCGGATTTGGTGTGAATGAGGCTTCATACTGAAAACAAGGATCTTATTGCAAGTGGACTTTTTGTTAATAATAACCTTAATAACCAACAAATGTGACATTGATATATAAATGTTGGCAATATATCAAGAATTATTGTTAAATGAATGAGATAAATTACCAGAAGTGAAGTTTACAAATGAAAGAGAGAAAGTAAATCGAAAAACTGTTCTTTAGTTGGGCGACTGTTAAAAACAAGCTGCTCAATCATTCACAAATATATTGAATGTTGTATAGTACCATGCACCTACTTTTATGTATAGTGTTCTGTGGCAATATACGACTATTAATTATTTGTATTGTCTGATTTCATTTACTCTAAGGGCTTATTTACTGTTTTTATTTATAATAATCTGGACCTCTCTTACTTAAACTTACCCATTTGTTACACCAACCAAATATCTAAGAATTGTCTTAAATTAAAAAAATAACAACATAACAATATGAGATTTTACATAATTTTTATTTCTTAAGGTCTTTTTAAAAAATTTTTAAAACTTGAAATACCAACCACTGTTTCACCTACACTTTTATTTTTTTATATATGATTATTTAAAAAAATATGTACAAATGAATGAAAATGACATTGAAAAAGAAGAATGAATAAAAGTGGGCTTCCCCCACGAAAGAGAGAGAAAAAGAATTGTTGTTCAGTTGTGAAAAAAATCAGTTGTGTAACAGCATAATGGATCAAATAGTTACTGCATATGTCACCAAAATCTTGGATAGTGGGTACTTACAATAACAAACATCTGCAGATGTTACAACATCCGAGCATTTTGGAATGCCTACAAAAACTTGCCTGAACACTGAAATCATTGGTTAAAAATTTCCCACATGGATAAAATAGACAAGCGGTACTTGGTAAAGACAACTTGATTTCTTGAGCACTTCAAATAAGGTAATCATTCGTAGAAGTCTCATGAAGATAAGCCTATCTAAGTGAACATAAAAAGGTCGGGGACCAGGACATACCTTCGACTTTAAATTGACAAAGATAGAAAAATGTTAAATACAGACACAATGTATACATAGGCCTATTCTTATTCTTTATTGCCAGAAACAATACAAAAACAAACACATACAGTCAACTCAAGGAGTAGGCAGGAACCAAAAGTGAACTAAATCACTGTAACAAAAGTTGAAATTCCATACTCCCTAAGTAATAATATATAACAATAAATATATAAATTTATAGATATTAATAAACTCTTACAGTCTAGAGTCCAGTTGGAATACGTAACTATGTGTTGAAATGATATATTTATATATACACATTCTACATTATGCGCAAGTATGTTATTTAGTAAAATAATTAAATTTAACGTAAATATGAAAGAAGCATATGGAAGAGTAGGAAAGAAACACGGAGTGGCTTAAATTTGTATACCAAATGTGTTATATAATAATGATAATAGCTCACTATTACATAAATTTATGAGATTGTAATAAATTTTGGATACTATTCATCAGAGGTCAAGGTGTCAAGCCTATACGTTTTGTAATCTACATCGAATCCAGAATGATTCACCTTTATTAAGCGGACAATTTTTGGGTCCTGAAAGTGTCCCCTCAATAGGGGTTCTACTGTAGTAAAAGTACAAATAATATTTATTGTAGAGAGATTTAGTGAATGTATGTACATAGATGCTAAACTGGCTTTATGATAAAAACTGTAGGTTTATGATCAAGACCACAGTTTTTTGGATCAGATCTTAGCATACATAATATAAAATTAATTAACTCAGTGTAGAAATATTCTAAATACTGTGTCTATTGGAATACTTTAAATTACAGCACAGGTTGGCAAAGTGCGGCCAGAGAGTGTTTTTTGCGGCCTGCGAAAATGAATTAAAAACCATATATCTGTGCGGCCCACCAAACAACTTTGGAAAAAAACACTTTGTTTTTTATAGCCAGACATCGATCATCTGTAAAAAGTAATATCAAAACTGAAAATAAAGTGGTATAAAAGCAGTGCATGAAAGTTTTAGGAAGCACACTGGAAACATCAAAGTTTGGATTGCTATAGTCAGGATCAGTGTTGGTTTGAGTCCCATGGCAGATGTCTCCATAGTGCGAACAGGTGACTGTCGCTGTTTGCTGGACTGCCAGATATCGCAATAGCCCAATTCCAAGCATGATTAGGCAATGGAATGTGTGTGTATGTACGATGTATGTCTGTGTATACCTGTGTGTATGTATCATGTATATGTACATACATGCATGCATATATACATACACATACATGTATGTGTGTGTGTATATGGCTGAGGTGGGTGTGGACTCACAAAATCTCGCTGCACCTTTAAAAACAGATCTGCACCCTTGATTGAAGCATCCAATGTACACTGCCATGGTTGACTGCACGTTTATTTTTTTAACAAACTGTTAAATTGCATTTGAATAATCAATTATATTTGAAAAGAATATTATCCAGTAGGCCACATACTATGAAGTTGTAGGTAAGCAGAGATTAATGTTTTATTGATTCATTTTGTATTTTGCTGCTGTAGGGTTCACAAACAGAAACTACAGAAGTTAAAGCAAAATATTATAAACAATATTTCTCTTGCAGATACATTATCAGTGTAGAAAGGTAAATACTACAACAACAATGTGCACTGTAGTAAGTACCATACTCATACTTTATTCAACATTTCTTGTTGGTTCAACCAATGGTGAACCACTAATTGTGAAAGGCCCATCAAATGAGACTGTAAATGAAGGAAAGAACATTAAATTTCTGTGCACTTTCAGTGGTCAACCTGACGAGATGATCTGGATTAAAGACGAACAGCAAATACCAGATGATGATCATCATTACAATGTGGATAAATCTGAGCCTAATAAATTTAAACTTCATATAATACAAGTGAATCGCACAGACAAAGGATATTATCAATGCAAAATAACAACAAATGGACAGCCTCCAGAACTTTCAGAAAAGGCTTTGTTGACAGTGAATGAAATAACAGGGGAGCCATATCCTATTTGTGAAACATCAATGTCTATATATGATGAGTGTGATATGGTACGTATGACCTGTACCACAGAGAATAAGTCACCACTTGACAAATTGGAGTTTTCTGAAACCTTAGAAAGGAACACTACATGCCAGTGCATTAATGGAACACACCAATGGGCTACCATAGAATTCCTGGCGGATGACGATGAAATTGACAATAGACAGATAGCCTGCATAATGTCTAATAACTTTTCAAAATCACGTCACTGCAGTAAGACATTGCATACCATGACCAAGTCAACGCCGATTCCCACTACAAAGAGCCTATATTCTTCACCCTCAACAATAGCCAATAGTGAATGTAGTAAGTGTGAGTGCCCAAATACCTACTTCATAACAACTCTTTTCTGTATTTTACTTATAATCATATTAGTTACTTATATTTTAGTGAATTACCACTACAATAAAAATATATTGACTGATTATTCAAAACTAAACGTTAAAGGGAGGAACCATCCCATTCAGGAGCAGCATCAACTGGGGCCGACTGACTTGGCTGAAGTAGCTACCCCTTTTCCCTTATCAACTTGATCATTTTAAAAGCATTGTAAAAATAAAGCAACTTTGGTACCAAAAAATTGATCTCTTAATAGAGGAAGTCCCTCACCAGGTGTTGACTATATTTATAGTGTTAAAATATATATTTTTCCTCCCTTCATGGCAAAAAATATAGGGTGTTCAAGAATAATTAATATTTAAATTTAAAAAACGAATATAATTTTCCTATTATAAAAACTACCTATTGTTAACAAATATAATTCAACAACAAATAAAATCAACCAGTTACACAAAAGTTAAGTTATTATTGTTTCAATTCTGTAATTCTGTTGAATTTTGAGCAAATAAAGAATAAAATCAGCCATTTTGGCTATTTCTATTATCCTGCTACTTGTTATACACTTACACTTGCCTAAGTCGAATCCAAAATGGCATTGAAAAATTGTTCAACTTCATATAAAATCTGTCTTAAAAAATGGAAAACACAATAATTTGGCATGTAAAATAAGATTGACTTAAGAAATTATTTGAGTTAGGTTAAGTCAACTTAGTATAGAGCAAAAATCTGATTAACATTCCTTGTTACCTGACTTTAGTAGTTAAATAAGTAAGTAATTCATGGATCATTTTAGTATTTAAGACTCAGTTTTATAATAGGTAAATAGTATGTTTAATTGTCATTGACACCCAGTAAGTTTCTGGGAGATCCTGTGACTCGCATGATACTTGGAACCCCTGGAATATCTTGAGCTACAGGCAATGGGACAGACCTAGGTTCTGTACTATTTATATTACAGACCGTAATCTACACCTACTGTTACCTGCTTCCTGCTTAGTAAGATCATTGCTTACTAAACCATTTTATAACAAATAGTCTGATTGGTTAGAATGGTCTGACCAATGAAATTAATTTTTAGATGGAATTTATTATATCATGGAAGGCAAAAGGTTACACATTTAATTACGCAAGTAACTCAAGTTTATTGTATTACCGGTATGTATTCAAATGCATTGAATCTTAAAATTTAAAAAATAAAATTATAAAGCCAAGTCAATGCAATGATGAATTGTGTTTGGCTTCCTATAGTTCAAACCCTCCCAGTTGTATCAGTACATTTGGAATTTTGTAGCAACACATATTGTCAAAGTTGTTTTTCTTACGTATCAAATAATTAAATCCCAGTAAAAAGTGTGTGCTCATTGCATTTTAAAATGATGCTGTTAAATCAAATTATATACAGTCAATCAAATAATGAATTGCATTTGGCTTCCTATGGTTCAATCCCTCCAAGTGTCAGTACATTTGGAATAAACCGAATTAATCACTAAAGATGATGTCTTCACGATTTGGTTTAGTGGGTATAGAAACATTTGCCAGAGTCATGCTTATCCATTGAGTGGTGTATATTATTGTAAATCATCTAAAATGTAATGAATTTAGCGTAGAAAATGCTTTTTATAACAAGGTATATATTTTGAATGATTCCTAAATTCATGAGATTAAGCTTGATTTGATTTACATTTCCATACAGTTTTGAGAGGTCTCCTAGGGGGCCTAGGTCCATTTCTCGCAGGACTCGCCACATCCAGCGCTGACTAAGGCGAACCTTGTTGATTTAGCTTGAATACAGTCACCAAGTCATTTTGTTGCAATTTCTGTATGAAATATTTAAACTACTAAACGAACTTAAAAATTGCTGAATTTGTAGAATAAGATGTTTATTTTGACTACAATGACCAATGAATGAATGTTGTTTGAATGACTCTCTAGCCTAGGCCTGTGTTTATGCAACGAGGCTATGCTCACTGTGTCTAGAAAAATGTTCAAGCTTTCCATATGTTTCTTTCACTCCACTTCAAATGTAACGAGTCAAAATTTTAAGAATTTATTTAGTAACATCTACCAAGGTTTTCGATACGTTAATTTACATTAAAATGTATTATTTTCTGAGTTTAAAAACAGTCAACATTTATTCGAGGCTTACTATTGTGTAAAAAGCTGTCACCTTGTGGTGAATTTTGATGCTATACCCACTATACAATACCAGCTTTGGTGACTAATGTGGTCTATTTTGTAATAACAAATATTATCAAATTTGTTTTTCTTATGTATCAATCAGATGTGCAAACATATCTCAAATAGATTTGCATTTTGGTATTTACTTTAATGGAAAAACTATTCATTTTAGTTTTTTATTTTATTGTTCAGTCCAGATTATTGTAATTTGCTCTGCTCTGTGTCGATGGATCATATTAAGAGCCAGGGCTATTAGTGTATTATTATTACTTTTCATTTATCAATTATCACATATTGTTGTATAATTCATGTCAACATACCAGGTCTACTGGAACCTTCTTTGATTTTCATTGGTTTAGCCAAGTTTACTCTGACCGTCCTTCCAAACAATTCAGATTCATTCTGAAATAAAATCATTATTCATTCACTATACAGGATGCAAATAAAAAACAAACAATAAATAATTCATTACAGTATTTGGAGCACACAAAAACTGAAAATATATTTATTATATAAAAAAATATTTATATTTCAGTTTTAAAGATAATTATGTTTGCAGTAGATTTTTGTGCTTGATAAAAAAAAGCCTCGTTAATTTTCCTTAGCAAGAATCAATTGGTTGAACACACAATACCAAGAAAATGTTATTTAGATTCTGTTTTAAATATTGTTGGTAAAATGAGCAGGTACATATTAGTTTGACCACAAAAAAGTTCAACCTGAACATTTTTAAAAAGGAGTATTATTCAGTAATGAGAAAAAAATCCAAACTAAATCATTTCAAAATGTTACTTACCATGTTGTCAATTGCTGCAGCAGCATCCTGTGGAAAGCAAATGTAGATTTTTATTGAGTGAAAGTTTATTTATTATTTGTAACTACTGTACAGTACTGAGTTACAGTACTTAATGTGCGTGTTAAGAAAGCAACACCTACATGATCACTTGTTTACTGGATTATATTAAGTTTGTATTGAAATGTTCTGATAATGAACTCAGCCATTGAATTACAAAAAGAACAAATTTTATGCAGGATGTAAGTTAAGGTTACATACTAAGCATTCAACCTAATACATTATACTGTAAAAGTAATTCTATAGGAAATTGAATAAATCTTTGTTTTCTTTCGTGATATTTCATAGTTGTAGAACCTTGTTAATTCCTTTGCGCTATATAAGTCTCCATTACCTTATAAACATGTACATATCCTGATCAGCATTAAAAAATTTGAATGGTATCAATGTGTATGATATTTTGTTTACATTTTATATGCATCCATCAGCTTGCGACTGACAGTTGCTTCAAACAAACAACATGCTCCACATTTTTTATTAGGTGATACGCTGCTACAGCGTATCACCTATTGTTGTTCTTTAGATTTTTCTTCTTTATTTATTTCTTCTTTTTTATTCTTCCTCCCATTCTTAGTTTGCGGCTATTCTAAAAAATGGCACAGGTTCTATCCTTGTTATTTGGATAGCAGATAGATCTATATCTGAAGTTTTGCAGGTGACTTTTTGTGTGACGTCACAGTCATGTGATGTCATCTACGCGCCATTAGGTGAAATGTTATGATTGACCATAAATTCCTCACCAAGATGCATTTTTCAATGAAACTTGACACACAAGTATACTTCATATGAAGGGTCAACTTTTTGTACTCATTAATGTGTGCGTACGCGTCTTAGCGTACCCATACACTTGCATTGAAATTTCGAAATGCCCCCCCCCCCCATCATTTTTTTCTTAAAATCTTTGAATGTGAAATTCTATGATTAATCATAAATAGATCTCCGTCATAGGACGGCAGACTGGTTTATTACACTGACGCAAGTATACTTTATATCAAGGGTCAACTTCATGTGCCATTACCGTTTGTGTGCGCGCAACATGACGTGCGTGTACGTGTGTGTTTATTTTAAATTCTCAAGATCACTTTTTGACCAAATTAAAGCACGTTTCAGGCCATTTTGGGCATTTCAAAACTTTCTTGCTGAGGAAAACTATTAGATCCTGTGCATCACCTAAAATTTTTTGATGATGAATTTCAATCTAGTTAACTATATTTTCATTATAAAATTACATCTTAGCCACCAAGATACAGCTTCATATAGGTCTATATTACAGTCCCCTTTTAACCAATCAAAACAACCTACACAAACTGTCACTCAACCAGAGAAAAGTGATGGCTATTTTCATGTCAGATTATAAATTTTGCCAATTGTGTGAGTGATGACACGGACATCACACACATCTCTTCTACTGAGATATATTTTGAGAATCTTACTTCTGCAAACTCAAACTCCACAAATGCAAATCCCCTGTGCTTTTCTGTCTCGTAATCCATTGGGATCTGAATGTCAACCAAATCCCCAAATGGGATAAAAGCGGCATGCAGCACCTTCTCATCTACTTCCTCAGCTAGCCCACCTACAACAAACATTTTTTTCAGAATGAGCAACTTTGACAATATGAGTAGGCAAAAAAAATATATAAACTATAAAATTAAACTATATTTTCTGCATTGCAAAATAAACCCAAAAGTAAAAAACACTTTTTAAACATTGCTCCCTATAATTGATTTTTCTTTTCTAAATTGTCAATTAATAGTATTTCTGTATTTTAATCACAGCTCTGACTTTATTCTTGTATAACTAATTAATTAAAATATATTTTTAAATAAATTTGAAATTTTGTATACTGTATTTTTATATCTTTAATTATTTTTAATTAATATGTGTGCAATAGTAAAAATGTTAATTTAAATCTTTTTGTAAGTAAAATTGTAGGTGGAGGCTCACATCATTGCTGATGATAGTGGCCTTCCTTATATTGGTTGAATATTTTTCCTTCTAGCTAGGCAGCTAGGCCTAGCATAGATAGTGGAGGCTAGGCTTCAAGACAACTCAGCACTTAACAGACTCAGCCCTTGTCAACTCGGCCCTTAACCGACTTGGCCCATAGCAACAGCAAATGATATTTAAGATTATCAATTAATACATAAAGCAATAACAATGTAATGCATTAAATAAACAAAAACAAAAAAAAAAAATTAAGAAGACATGCCTACATTACTGCTTTTTAGTGTAATTTCTTTAATTTTTGTGTAATTTATGTAGCATAAAACATTAATACTATACATGAAAAATACAAATACGGTATATCATAAGAAAATGCATTACTACTTTTGTATGCTATAGCCTAGGCCCAACTGAAACAATCAACATACATACATGCCTTTAATAATGCTTATTTCGTGTAATTTTTTTTTATTTTTGTGAAATTTAATATTTAACGTTTCATAAAGATTCATTAACAAATTTATGTTTCTGTTTGTAAAATTGTTTTTCTCTTTTGTGGGAATCACCTATTAATTCAATACTTTTTTATTTAACACAAATACAAAAATTTGTACAAAATGACACTTGGGTTGTAGAAGCCCTTTTTACAATACATTATATAATTTTAACTTTTTTTGTAAGTAGTTAATGTACAATTAAAACAAGTTATAATAGCAGATACACAGATATACCATTTTCAAAAGAGCTTACAATTTCTCATTATTATTATTATTTTTTTCATTTTATGTTTTTGATCCTTTTGTTAACACATTATGTCATAATCATAATAATAAAATATTATTATACATCACATATAGCACATCATAAATCTTGGGAACCAGTCAATTCGAGCGGATGCCACTTCGAGCGAAGGCCAATTTGAGCGGATTCGAGTGAATTCGAGCGGATGCTAGTTTGAGCGGAAGAAGATCCACTTGTGCGAACAACAACCTGTGCGAGTTATATACGAATTACTTCAAAATTTCTTATTTTTGAGCTAAAAATTTGACATTTTCAAAGGGGAAGGGAGCACACAACAGTTCCAGAATAGATTAAGTGAGTAGCATATCTCAATTACAAATATAATTTGAGCTAAAAATTTGACATTTTCAAAGAGGAGGGGGGCACACAACAGTTCCAGAATAGATAAGTGAGTAGCATAACTCAATAACAACTATAATTTGCTTTTTTAAATACAGAACCTCAACCAGTGACGGATCTGGGGAAGGATCTGGGGAAGGGGGGGGGGGTGGTGAATAGGGTGGCCAGCCACCCCACTTTGTTTACCGTGAAAAAAATAATGGTCACTCGTCTTGTGTGTGTGCTTCTCGTGCACTCTAGTAAAACATACACTTTCTTCTTAGTTTTAAGCTGAAAAGTGCGCAATTCTATTATAGTTTTAACTTGTTAGCGGCCATCTTGGTAGTCGGAGTTGCCAAGACTGTAATTCAAACATGGAGTAATTACCAAAAAGTACTAAAAACCTTTCAGAACCTTAGTAATCAGAGCATTTTTTTGCATTTTAAACAAACAAATACAAGAATACGGCGACGATAAATTCGCCCTTGTTATAGTTCGCACTAAATGCATCCGCTCAAACTGACATCCGCTCGAATTGACTGGCATCCATAAATCTTTATACATATTTGTTTGCAAAATCTTATCTGTTTGTAAAATTTTATCAAACATATATTAGAACTTGAGACTTAAATTTTGTGAATCTGTGAACGATATTCTGAATAAAACATTAATACCTAAACAGTAAAATATATCAAAAGCAATAATATTATTGATTTAAAGATTTAAAATACCGTAACAAAAAACTAAAGCAGCATTGTAGGCGGAGTTGTGCATGGATGGGTCAAGATTGACAAGGGCCGAGTCAGCTGAGTTGTCAAGGGCCAGGGTGTATGGGCTGAGTTGGATAAGAAGGGCCAAGTTGGCAGTGGGCCGAGTAGGTATGGTCCGAGATGGCGAAGGGCTGAGCTGACCTGTTGTACCCGGCTAGGCCTAGTGTACTGTAGGGACTGTCTGACTGCTGACCTACTCTAGGCTAGGCCTCCTAATATTACTAATATTTACTTTTTAAGAATTAAGGTGTAGGTCTAGGCCTACTTGTAAAATTCATTACAAGAAGAGGCGAAGCCGCAAAGAGCGAGTATTAGATGGTCCAATCGTCTTACAAGACATGTGAGTAGGGGTACCGTAGTTCATTATTTCCGAAATGAATGAGTCCAATTGTCCAAAGACCAATCGCCGTCTCTTCACAAGACATCGTTCCCCTAACACTCACTGGGCCCGTCAATGTTGGCATATTGCTAGGCCTAAGCCTACAATAATACAATTATAAATTTATTCACTTTATAGCTAATTTTCAAGTATTAGTATTCAATCTAACAAATTATCAATTAATAAAATATAATATAGAAAATAATCTTACCAACGTAAATTATACGTTTATTGTTGGCGGCCATTTTGAAAATCTGCCATAAGGCAATTAAAGAGGGCGCCAGACAAAATTGCGCGCGATATGGAATGAGTTTCATTTTCTGTTTTTTCGCCAACACACAATATCATTAACGCCGGAATTACAGCAATTATAATAGATATACTGCTAGGTCAAAACTAAAAACAAATACAGTAATAATGAATTGTTTACATTGTATAATTCAATTAAAAATACTGTAGAGTTTATCTTAATATTAAAATGATAAATTCCTCTGCGAAGTGTTAACTATTTATTGGGAATACAATTTCTAAAACATATTCATTATTACTACCAAATTTCAGAATTTTTGTAGTAATACATATATTGCTTTTATAGAAAAAATAAATTACAATAAAGGATAAAACGTGAAAGTGAGAAATTAAAATAATACCAGCCGAATTAAAAACCTTAAGAGGTGGAAACGTCCGTCAAAAACTTCCCCATTTATATAATGGAAACTTGATAATTAATGTAATGTGGGCTGTGGGCTTGGTCATATTAGTGATAGATAGGGCAGGTTACAAAAAAAATATTAGTTTTTATCACTCGAGTTTTTCACAAAATTTGACGAGAGAGGGAGTTTTTTTTTTAAATATCTCGATATGGAGTATATATGGCCTATTTAAATAAAAGAAACATTTATTTACAACAAAGATGCACGTTTGCACAAGTACTGTACAGGTCTCCCTCAGATTAATGAGCACCTTCAATTAAATACGACTTTTATGTGGTCCCAAGTTAACCAATGTCTTTTATCTTTATTATTCTAGAGACCTGAGCAGCTGCAGTAATAACGAAATGCTCGTAAAATCTGAAGTTTTGTAACAGGTTTGATAAGGACATTCAGCATACCAAGCTGCTAAAAATGTTGATAGGTAAAAAGCAAAATATCGTGTCAAAATGTCCCAAATCTAAAACGAGGAAGGGAATGATGATCTTAACCATTTCTATCGGTCCTAAAATAGACCTTTTGAACTTGAAAATTTTGGGAACATTTTACTGTAGGCTGATAGTCATGATTAAAAAAAAAAACAACAGCAGGGAATATAGATATCATAAACTCTCCTGGACTGAGGGAGAGAGTGATAATCTATTTTTTCTATCAATACTAAAATAGACCTTTTGAAAGAAATTTTGTGACATTTTAGGGTCGTATAAAATGAAAGAAAAGGTACTGTAATTAACATTTGTAGTCCTTTTGACAAAAGTCCATCACTTAACAAAGCATGCTGGGCCATAGTCATCCTTGATTGATATCAGTATATATTAGTACCTTTGTAATAAATATCATTGTTAGTTGTAATTTGTAAGTGTACACTTTAAAGAATGCGGGTACTTCTGGTTACATTCTACTGTAGTGATTGACCATTGATTAGATAGACAGTACTGTATTAAAAAAATACAAAATGGGACAGAATTAGTAAAACGACAATTTATTAAGAAATCATTTACTGTAATACAGTGCAAAAAAGCCAATAACACCATGATTTAAATTTTAACCTGATACAGTCATGATAAAGACAATAACAGGGAATATAGACATCATAAACTGTCCTAGCCTATGTTACAACATTAAACACTACCAGAAAAGAATTCTGTATACATTTCTAGTGGCAATACAGGCTATTGTTTAGTTACTTAGTACAGCATAACTTTTGGCTTCTACTATATTACATAAATCAATATCTTGGCCACTTGATAGTACAAACATTGCAACATGCTGGACATTTCATCAGGATACAAGGCACAGCAGTATTATTGGCATGGCTGAAACTTCTTCAGAATGATGTCAAACTTGCTGACAAAATAAAATGCATACAATGACTTAGTGGAATACTTCACGGTCCCTGCATCGAGTGGTAACAATGGCCATCATGTTTTATCTTGTAAATCAAGTAATGGTTTGTATTCATTGTAATCATGGAGGCTACGTTATAAAAATTAATGTAACAATAACTTATTAACAATACTATGACCTTGGCTAAAATCTGTACATTTTAGATTACAGAATTTTAAAATTGTGACAGAACAATCAATTAAGGTCCTTCTTGATTATTTAATACTGTAGTACAGTAACAGTAGTAAAACACAGTTCAGCAATATTCTTAGTTTTGACAATCCATTTGTTGATCTCTGTTGACATGTGCATCAAATCTGGATTCTGAGATAATCTGGATAATGACGATAATGATTAATATAATAATATTAGAATACTGTATATTTTAATTTTATTACTGAATTTACAAATTTTTAGCAAGAGAGTTCAGGATCTGGATCTATTCTCAGCCACTGCTGTATAAATAAAGTCTGATGCTCACTTCACAAATCTTGGCTTATTATACTAACAATTGTTGGTCTGTCTTCAAACTTCACTTAGTTGAGGCCTTCCTTCGGTACGCCTGGTCAAACTATTAGTTAATGTAATTTGTAGATATTAAGTACTGTAGGAGTGACATCACAATTGCCGATCACCTCAAGACAATAATATGCAGCAAGTCCAGAAACATTAAATAAAAACATATTTTTGACGACCAATACTAAAAGGAAGGTACAAATATGTACTTTTAGACTTTTCATGAATCATCTGGGCGTTCTGGAGGTGGTCCACACGGCTGTAGCATTCTTTCCATTTGGTTAAACTTTACCCTAGCTCGACTTTCGTTCTCCGCCACAGCAAAAAAATTCAGCATGTCATAGTGGCCCATGTAGCTGCAAACGCTATCTCGATGCTGGTTCGTCAGCCATTCCCATTTTGAGGTATCTGCATGGCCTGTACCAATATACTTCGATTGTAAATGTTCCAACTGACTATGGATGTTGTAACGATCACCCATTACGACAGTTCTAATATCTTGTTTTGGTATCAACTCCAATAATATGATGTTAAAAACAGCAATGTAAAGTTGTCTAGACGGTGACCTAGGCCGCGGCTAAATGTTGATATGCTGCCCTCATTTGGAATCAGGGGCTACAAATGAACAGCGTAATAATAAAATAATTCGTTTATTATATTTATTTATAACATACATTTAAAAATAAAATAAATATTTAAATAATTTTAATATTTATGGTTAAATTTGGTTTAATTTTTATGCTATGTGTTGATATTTTATATGAATGAATTATAAAAGTTTTGCTACGAGACTGGTTTCTTACGGCGTCACCGACCGCGTTGTACTTTATTCTCAACGCGTCACCGCGGAAAGAAGATTTATATCCTTGTGGTAAATTGCTTTTATTTATCATTAATTTTCGTGTATTTCCTGTTATATCTGTTTCATTGTATAAAATATATATTCTTCTGTTGTTTGGTGTCTGAAAAAAACTTGATAATATTGTAAAATTTCCAAATGTTGAGCTCAAATAGTCAGTGCCGCTGCAAACAGTAAGCCATGAAAGATACATTTGGGCAGTAATGGCTTCACGCGTTTTCATCATCAGTATCGTCATTCAGCTCAATTTTCTTGTTCGTGTTGATGATGGAGGTGATGGCGCGAATTGTTTAGTATTTGAATATGTAATTAAAGGAAATTGATAATAACACTTGCGAAATGATGTATTTGTGTGCGTTTATTTCTAAAGGCTAGCCTAGGTCTTGATACTATTTAATAATAATATTTAGTTTCGTGCACTAGGCCTAGTTTTATAATTAGGCCTAGGATCATAATAATACCGACGCAGGCGCAGCAGCTAGTAGTAGTAGTAGGACCTAGCCTAGGCCGCCTAGCCTAGGTCCTATATGAAATTGCCCTGGCCTAGGCTCCTGCCCTGATCTAGGTTAGCCTAGCTCTCTATGATATGGCCTGTGTGGGGAATAGGCTTATACCTAAGCCTATAGTACCCCACTGAGCGGTCCAACTAAACACCACACGGAACTGCACTAACACAGACGCAAAAATGATTAAAATATTGCCACATGAGAGTCAAAAACAGCTTGAATTAAAAATCGGTAAAAATCAAACATTTATATTGATAGTTGTCCGAATTATGGTTAAAATCAATTTTTGTTGGTTTCGCTGCCATGCTTCCGAAGTTAATGAGCTGACAATGTCATTGAGTACATCTTTCTAAAATGCATTGAAATCTACAGAAACGCATTCAACCATGACCAGCTGCAACTGTACATACACTACGTTACATTTCATTGAGACTTATTCTGAAATATTCAAGATAATATCACATGAAAGCTAATGAACTTAAATGTAATAATACAAAGAAACAATATGTTGTTCTACTGGTAACCCAATGGAAATTATTTATTTACAGTAATTTGATAAACTGGGTTGTTTTAAATCTGTTCAATTTCTATCTTGTATCATATTGTAAAGCACTCTTCTTTATTCCATTGCTGTACGACTGGAAATAATTTTTTTTAAACCAACAAATGAAATATATGAATTCTGTAATATCAATTAAATATGTACCACAATTTAAATATTTCATGTGGCAGTTTTTTATTATTTTTAGAATAGTTTTTCAATATGAAATGCAGGTTACATGAAGGTCATGTTTAAATGTGTTTTTGTGATGCGTCAATGCGTTAGCGAGATGACACAATGTCAGTCCATTACTTTCTGAAACATGGGCGAAACCATAACGACATACATGTACTGTACATCAATTTTTAACAGAATGTGGACAATTGTTATAAAAGTTTGGTTTTATTGATATTTAGCTGTTTTCTGCTCTTGTGTGGCAATACTCAATCATTTTTGCAACTGTGTGTTCAGTAGCAGGGGAGGATTTATGGGGAGGATAATAAGTTCCTATTCGATCACCGTTGATGATGTCGTCATCATCGTCAATATCATCAATATTATTATTTTCAATATTACAGTAATACAGGTATATGTACTGTATTATATACTGCAGTATATTAATGGTTTTTTATGCTAATTAGTATGCCCTTACACTAATCAGCATTATTTTCTTTTACTTTAAAGTAATATCAGATGATGACACATTCATATAAATGATTACAATTTAGTGCATTTTTCTATAAAATTACAGTACTGTAATTGTTAAACAAATTTTGCAGGGTACAAATTCAAGTACTTATTGAAAACAGATGTCTGAGGCAACTGCAAATTCATTAGATGAAGGTAAGATCAGTTACTGTACTGTAGCATTTGTCTGTCATTGAAATTTGCATTATTATTTAACAACTTTTTAAAATTGTTATTATGAATATTATCACTTTCTTCAGTCATTATTATCACTGTATAGCCAATCATCATTGTCACTGTTTCCTCATAAATATTAATATCACAATTATTACCAGTATACACACTACAACCATTTTCTGTGGAATTATTTATATGTTGACTTTGGCTATTAATGGTTTTACACTACCTGTAAATCCTACAGTATTTTCAAGTATTTGTACATATATTTTTGTAAAGAAAATTTGTGGTAAACCTTAAAAAACTTACTTGATAAGTCCCTTTTTAGGATAAAAATAAATTAAATAAATGTATTGAAAAGTAAGTACTAAATTGCTACATAAATGTCAATGGATTATTTAAAGTGAAAAAATTATTTAAAAGGATTTTTATAAACATTAGAATTACTGTACATCTAATCTAGTAATATAATTTTTTTTTATTTGTTTAGCTCCCAGGAGAGCTAAGAAGTTGGGCTTAGGTACTCCTCGACCAATGTTCCAGGAAGGAGTGGATATAGTGCAGATAAGTTCTGGTAGTAACCATGCCATTTGTCTATCAAGTGAAGGAAAGGTATGTAGGCATGTTAAAATATCTTGTGTATCAGGGAGGCTGTAGGCATTTAGCTATCATCTCACTTGTAAGTTGTGAGAGTAAATGCGGTTGGAAGTGGGATGTGTCATAAGCTAAGATATGAAATATGGTGCCATACCTAGATAAAACCTGACCTAGAAACAATCTGTAAGTTTATTTAAGCGAATTTCCAACACAGAAAGCATTGATAGATTATGAGATAAAAGTAACCAAAAAATACTGGGTGCAATGGAGTTTTCAATGGACATATTTAATATCGTCAGGTCTTAAAAACAACTCAGAAGACACATCATATTCATTTTGAACAGTAGCTTATCACTTCAGTTTAACATGGGCATAGTAAAATTAAAGAGGTGGTGATAGAAAATTTTATGATTTTTATGCATGACTACTATTTATTATCAAACCCAAAATAAGGAAATTACTATTACTATTTTGCAAATAAATACAGTGTTGACTTTTAGGGCAATTAAACAATATTTTCCTTCTCCTTGTACTGTACTTAACCTAGGTTTACACGTTTGGATCGCGGCGACTGGGTGCCCTAGGACGCCGTGAGCCTAAAGGACGCGAGGGTATGACGGCTGAAGTTGAACTGCCAGAGAAGGTTGTACAGGTAGCAGCTGGCCAACACCATTGTATTGCACTCACTGAGAAAGGCCAAGTGTTTTGCTGGGGTTCTATGGAGGTGCAGTTTTTATTTTAAATTTAAATTTCACCAAATATAGCAAAATTAGTAGCAAATATTATGATGAATATTATATAAATGCTTAACAGTGCAAGAGAAGCAAAGAGTATATATACTACCTTATTTACCATTATTATTCATTCTGTTTACAGTATCATAGTATGCACTTATGGCCTGTTTTTTGTCAAACCACGTACCTATTAATAATAATAAATCATCCTATTAATAGGTCAATGGTCAGACACATGCTCAGAAATACATAACAGCAAATAATTCATTTTCAAATTTTATTCAAAAATGAATATATTTGACTTTGCAGCCAGAAAAAGCTGAGCCTGTAACAACTCTACTAAATGCAGTTAGTGGGATAACACAGACAATGGCGCATGAATTTGATGAACAGTTAAGGAACAAAGAAGCTATGAAAAGAGGATTTAGGCGTCCATCGCTTCTGGACATAGATCCTGCGACACCCCCTAAGGCAAAGAGGTGGCAAACTGACCCTGCTGCTAACACCTCTCATAGTAATGGTATTGAATCTGGTGTACAAATAGAAACTGAATTAGAGTGGAAAGATGATGCTGAGGAAGAGTATCCGCTATCGCCATACCAGGTGGAGCAAGCTGTCAAACAATCAAACACACCCACTGCGTTTGCACGCAAACTCGCACGAATTTTATTCACAACTGAGGATCTCATGCAGGCAACTTGCTCAGGCCGAACGCAGGGAGGACGCCGCAACCAGAAACTCGACCCAAAGGTCCTGGAAATAATTAAGCAACAGACACTTGAGAATTATGATTTCCCAGGTGAAAATGAGGATAAAATTTGGAGAAAGTGCTTAAAGGGAATCGATAATATTGGCCGACATCTCAAATACTACGACTCGGGTAACAGAAGACGATTAAGGAAGGCACAGTTAGCTGCGCAGAAGAAAGCAGCAGAGGAGGATGGGGGTGCCCAAGATGATGCTGGAGAGGAAGTGGCAGAGGAGGATGTTGCTGAAGAACCTGAAGATGATGAGAATTATGAAGAAACATCTGAACAAGGGAAAAAATAATCATCAATTTTGATCCATTTTATATCCTGTGTTGCAATGATGTTAAAAAGCTAGAAGAATGGAATATAGGGTTCAGGTGCCTTCCCTATGTACTTGCTGTTTTGGTTCATTTTTTCAGGTTTCTTTCCTGGCCAAAAATTTAATATAAATTTAATGTTTTTAATGAGTTTATTTAAAAAGTAATAGGTACAGTACCTCATGGAAGAAGTATAATAGCCATATAGTCGCTAAGGTATATACATGCAATTGCGTGGCACTTTCAGAGAGGTATGGGGTGTTGTATCAAAAGTTTAATGATGTAAATAAATTAAGATAATGTCATCACATTGAATATAAAGTCTTATTTATATTTTTTATTATATGTGCATTTATTAATAAGCGTACTTTAGATTTGTGATCAAATCTACACTGCACTTTTAAGGATTTCATATCTTATTTTGATTGTCAAGTATTACACAAGCGTTTTGTCCACTTAAGTACCTGCAGTACAGTATTACTTTATGTTATACATGCCAGTTAGGTACTGTATTACTGGCACTAGAATTTGGCAACCAGAAACAGTATCTTACTATGGACATTTCTGATTGTCAGAACCTAATAAATTTAATAGGGGCAGGTCAAAGTTTATGTAAGTTACGGCTGTCTTAGAAACAGTACCCCAGGGGTGGGATCTCAAGTTCATAAAAACATTATTAAACGGCAGAATATTGCAAGTTTGTAGTTTTTTTTTGTGTAAGCTTTTGACAATGAAATAACAGCTTTGGAAAATGCATAAGTTCAAACTATTACTTTTCAGTCTTAATTAAAAAATACATTTGGAGTAGATTAGTGTATATAATGCAAATTAAATGGATAAGTTTGTAATTTTTGATTTGTAAAAAAGGAGTAGCTGTATTCTATACATCATCCAATTCCTACTTCTACACAATTTTTGAATTGAATGCACTGAACAATGCAAAAATTGAAGTGCTTTGAGTTGTTGCCTTTGTTTTTCATTTACATCCACTGAAGGCAAGACACTTTATACCTTGTATAGCGAACCTGCCGAACGGAAATATTGATGATTTCGAATAAAATTAAAATTTCATTTTTGGCCAATTACGAAAAATAAACATTTAAAAAAAAAGTTTTTCTATTTTTATTACATCCTCCGCAGCCTTGAAATCTCTGAAGATATCTATATTTCTTCCTAATTATTTAAATTTGAAGCATTCAACCATCCTATTTTACATTCACCAATACAATTTATTTTTAAAATTCTCCATCTTGATGTTTTTGGCAAAACTATTTGCTAAATAAAACAAACTTTTTTTATTCCGCCCTCCTCTGATCTTAAAAATAGGTACGTGAAACAAGGAATAAAAAAGACGCATAAAGAGGCTTCATTGGATGACAAAAACACCCTAAATAAAATATATTCAGGTTCATAGCACCTACCAGGCTAATGTATGAGTTTAATGGTACAAAAGCGAGGTTTAAAAAAGCAAGATCAACCAATATTTTCTACTATGAAATAATGACACAAAACATTTTCAGAAAAAAATTGTTTATTGCATATGTGCAATCCTTCCAACATTTTTTCAGATATAGGAAATTGTAATTCAATATCTATATCCCTCTGATATTCCCGCAGATCAGATGAAAAGTTAATTAGGAATAAATGATCCCAGACTCTTCACATGACAAGTCTTCTAAGAAAGTTTACAACAAATTTAGACTGGATCAGCGGGGTGTCAAGGTGTATTTCTCTTGCAGCCTAAACACCTGTTTATTATTAGAATTACTGTAATCTCATTGGTTAAGCTCATACATTTTATCCAAGAGAAGTAATTTTATTGGATGAACTCCTACTTGGTTGTTCCATGAGATGGTTATTCTTGAGACCCTACCTAGTATCAAGAAGATAATTATTGCTTACTCAAGAGTTTTCTTTTTTCAATCAATGAGTTGTACCACACAAATAAATTATGTATTATCAGATAATACAATTCATTTTAATTTCAACAGTATTTAAAGATATACAGCCACCTAAACCAAATATGAACTGTTTTTATAAAAATTCATTTTTCATTTCAATAAGTTAATACCTTTGAACAGAAAAGTACAGTAGAACAAAAAAAAAAAGATTTGTCTTCGACAATCAATAGACTTGAATAATATCATTCCTATACATCTCACAGAAGGATTTTAAGATTTCTGTATTGAAAAGTTTTTCTCATACAATAATCTGGAATCTGAAGGTTTATGAGAATGTTTTAAACGAGGAATTCAAATTCTTATTTTAATTTTTGAAGTTTTTATTCCCAATCTTTGGATGGCAGTATATCTTCAATACAGACCAGAATGAAAAACACTTTATGCGACAATTAAGTGACTTTTGTGTCCGAACATTCTTCTTATAACAATGTTTACAACAATAATCTTGGGTATTTAAACAGTTGCATGCTTGTAGCGCCCATCTGTACTGCTTCTCCTAATTTTCGCTTTGCAACTTTCATTTGCGATCTAGAAATTAACTGTAAATAATAATCATAAAAATAACAGAACAATGATTATACAAAGGCAATAAGATATATTAATTATATATTAAATAATAATTGATAAAATTATTGCATAGTTTATACAATTTTAGGGTTTTGATTAGCTACAAAACAAAAAGCTACAAAACCAACATAACTCATAGAATAAATTATATAAATTTCATGCAATTCAACAAATTAACACCATCAGATATACATTATTCATTGTAAACTCAAGAATAAATATTTGCCCATATAACAGAAAAAATAATTAGGAAGCACATGAAAAAACAGATAAATAATAAAAATTAATTAAATATGAAAACAGCTGAAGCAAGATAAGAAGAGGTGACCACTGAAATAAAGGATTAGAGACATCTGATCATTAAGGGCAACAATGCTGCATATAACACAAGCAAGTACAAGATTAAAAAAAAAAACTTGTACTGTATTTAATTGTGCAAAACTGTCAGTGATTTTACTTTATACAGAGAAATGGATGTAAAAGAAAGAATCCAAACAATAATGTGTGTATGAATCAACACACGAGGAAGACAGAAATGTTATAATGTTCTAGGGAAGTTCTATAGTATACACTGTACTACGTACAGAAATACTGCCTAATTACATACTGAAATAGAAAAAATAATACTGTAGTATATTATGTGATCCATGAGTAGCCTATACTACACATAGTCCAATGTCTAAAACAATGAGTGTTTTGTCAAATTATTGATTACAAAACTTTTGAAAATCTAGAAGTGAGATAGTTTATTTTGTGTTAATTTTACACGCAAGGGATAGAAAAAAGAAAATCTTAAGTGAATTTTACACTAGTGCAACAACTCCATTCATATTTAATTATCATCTGCATGAATTCTGGCAAACATGAGAAACTTAATTCTTATTAAGGAGTGCATTTATGATCTTCAAATACAGAATTAACAAACTTATTCAAAATTTTAGTCTGAGAGTGCCATTACCAGCCATCTGTAAGTGCCAGACATAAATTTTGTAACCATGGTAGGGCTGGGGTAGTTTTGAGCCTCCATCTGTAAAATAAATTTTCTTGGCCTAGCCTCCAGTATTTTAAACTATTGGGTCCTCTTGGACCTATTGGATTTTTATTGTTCATTAGCTCAACAAAATCATTAACATGCTTTTTTTTGTGATTAAGTGGCAACTCACTTTAATAAATTAAAACAAAACATAAAAGGTAAAACAAAATCAAATATTAATGATCAGTCTGCTAAAGTGTAGTATTCCAAAAGCCTCTATGCACATTCATTATCACATTAACAGAAATTAAGAGTCCTACTAAACTCAAAATGGAAACAATCTGAACCACTCACAGACCACACAGCTGCAAAATATGATTAAATATTACCACACAAAAGTATTAAACTACTGTACTAACTTTTATTGCAATACTGTAACTGTCTAGTTAAAATTGATTGCCATAGGTCTTACCGCTACATTATTGACATCTACAGGGAACCGTGGTCTTACATAAAAATTATATCACTGATAATTTTCAGTTTTTTATTTCCATCTCTCATGAAACGCATTGCTTTCTGAAATATAGCGGTGAAACCTATACCAAGAATGATCAAATTAAAACAGAAACCAGCAAGTATTGCTAGAAAATTTAGTTTTTATTGATTATTAATCAAGTATGTACTCTTATGTGGTGTTTGCATTTTGTGGCTCCATTTGCTTCTGTGTGGCTTAGTGGGACTGGACAGTGGCGTACAAAATTGTTCATTATTATTGTAATATTTCTGTGAAATAATAACTTTTAAAAATATATAAGAACCATATTAACTCTTACTTGGTATGTATTCACTGCCAGCTTACTACATGATGTACAGCCCTGAGATATAGATCATTTCAAAGACTCCTATACAGTACAATAATCTAACAGCTTTATTCAGCTACAATATGTCCAAATATTGACGGCCCCAACATACACCCACACACGCACACCATTCTGTACCTGAGTCAGCCCAGTAGAGTAGGCTAAGTTAGAACAGCCAGTGAACTTGGCCATTTCTTGTTGGAAAGAATAACTAGATACATTTTGCATTATTATATTAGCTATTTTAAACAGCAAAGAGAAGTAGATTAGCTTTGATCAACCCCAAAGGAAGAACAAACCAGGGAAATTCACTTCTTCTGGTGGACACAGCAGTGCAGTAAAATAGCTCTGACAGACCCTTGTGAAGTAACCTAGCTTAGATGGACACAGTTGTGAAGTAGCCCAACTTAGATGGACACACTTGTGAAGTAGCCTAGTTTTAATAGATGGGAAACCAAGTGAAACATACTGAAATGATACCAGCATTGATGGACAACACCTTTAAAAAGACCAGCTTTGATAAATTTGCATAAACTCTACTCGAGGTACAGTACACTACATATTTTCTTGTAAAGATGAACAGACTGATATATGTTCTATAAATATAAAACTGTGATCCCGTTAATAAAGTGGCTCCCAAGATCTAAATTCATAATTAGAGCCTGTATTCATTCTTCTATGCCCGTTAAAAGGTAAGCATCCTGATCTCTACTCTGTGATTGGTTACATTGCAGCATGGATTCTAATATACACATGGATGCATTCGTTGAATGTAACATTCTAATGTGTTTGGCATACATTTTTGACATACATATTACCAATTGACTGTTTAACAGTTAGCATATTGCCTACTATTAGTATTAAAAAAATAATTCACAATGCACTTAAGCATTTTCCCACTAACGAACAAAGGTAGTGCAGCCCCACCTTTAAATAACAGATCTTCTAAAAGGTATTTTTACGTTGGAAGTTTTCATTCCTTGCACACCCGTTTACAGTCACTATCTTCTGACTCGGAGACTTTACGTTTCTTGGAGGCAATGGTGACTGTGTTGTCATGATTAAGCTGTACAATGATGCACGTCATGTTGTCACATCCTGTTCCATCCCCTGATGTGTCTGGTGCCAAACAAGCATCAAACAACTAGAACAAATTAAGAAATATATTCATTAATACAAATTGTAAATGTTATAAGGTTTGAGAGCATAAGCACCTATTTAACTTTTTTATTATTTTTACATGATGGTTCAAAATGATAAATGATTTTTTAAACTGTTTTGCATTGGCTTTGAAGATTTTCATTATATATACCACGTACATAGATTCTAGGCATCTGATTGGTTAAGAAGCAGGAAATATAAAGTACTATCACCCTAAATGGTAGTACTTTTTTACCCTGTTGCACAATGTGTAATCTCTAGGCCGCGTTGCTATGTAATTTATGGTACACACAAATGGTAAAGTAGATGCAACCTCTACAACGCTGACAGAGATTGGCCCTTTGACCGCCTAGGCCTACTTGGTGGGTACTATTTTCATTACTTTTTTAGGTCTTGTAGAATCTATGTATGACGAGGTATACAGAACAAATATTGACTGCTCTAGATTCGGGGAACAGGCTTTCGGCCTGCGGGAAGATATGCTACGGTCTCCACATCTCCTCGGGGCAATAGATTTCACCATTCCCCGAATCTAGAGCAGTCAATATTTGTATACTAGTGACTTTCCAATCTCCGTGCACACTATCAAATTTCTCCATGTTGTTATGTATGTGTTGCATTTTCGTCATATAAACTGTTTTTCTGGTGGCATTTAGAAAGGTCAATTTTTTTTTCTTTTGTCAGTTTTGATGTTAACTTAAATGTTAATATATTGGAAAATGCAATAAAGTTCTACATGATTTGTATACAGTACTTATCTATCCAATACAATGTTGGAGCAATTATATGTAACAAACAATGACTGGTTATGTTACCTCTTCAATGATAGCGGTCAGGGTCCATGTTCCTCCTTCAGGATGATCTTGATTCAGACGTTCGCTCACAAAATCTACAACCTCCTGACTTGACAGTACATTCCTAAAAAAAAGCAAAAATATGCATCATTGGGATGCTGGAAATTAAGCTGAAGGCGAGACTTTTGTTATACCTTGTTTCACAAACTTATTTTTTTAAAGATCGTCAGAGGGCAGAAAAAAAAAATAAAAATAAAATTTTGTTTTCTTATTTAGCAAATGGTTTCCCTATAAACATCCAGACTTTATTGGTGAATGTAAACAGTGTAATAATGGAATGGTTAAATGCTTTAAATTTATATAATTAGAAAGAAATATACATCTTATTTTTGGAGATTTCAAGGCAGCGGCAGGCATAATGTAAATTAAGAAAAACTTTTATGTTTTCTTAAATTTCCATATTTTGTGATGGTGGGTGCACCAATTGGCCAACAATAATTATTGGCTGGAGGTTGGTTGGCTAAACAATGTATAAAGAAAGTCATCTAAAGAGCCTTTAGACTCTACAAACCTCAGCAAAATTGACTTGGCTCCTATTAAGTTCAGCATTCATATTTTTTAATAATGTTATTTTAACTCTTTTTTCATGTCTATGAGACTAATCCTGAATTCCAATGGTTAATGTTGTGTACTGAAGCAGGATTTAGTATAGTGCCCACTTAGACACGTCCTCAAATTATATTCTAAATGAATACAAATGGCTACCAACAGGACGAAGGAAACATGGAAGGCAAAAAATGCTTTAAAAACTTGTTGCAATGGTGGGGGAGGGGGACGCATACCACAATACTTACCAGATACCATCACAGGCTAAAATGAAAAAGCTGTCCTCCGCTTGTAGTGTTACTTTCCTGATGTCAGGCAATGGAGATATCATTTGTTTCTCTAATGCTAATGATTTATTTTGTTTATAACAATGATCACCTGGTAAATAAACATAAACATAAGTAAGCAACATTATTTTTTGAAATGTATTTCATACAAATAAATATTTTTATATTTCCAATATCAGCATCTAAAGGATCTAAAAAGCATTATTCTGAATTGTTGAGAACTCTTGCTTTCATCATACATATTAACATGTTGGCTGAACATTTTTTGCAAACTTTAGGAAGGAAATAAGAAACACAAATACATAGTTTAAGAAAGTTAATAATCTTTCCATCATAACAAGCCTACTTCATTACATATGGCAGAGCATTTGTACCCTTAATTACATCTTGCAACGGTGGGTGTCAAAAGAATAATATAAATATTATTATCATTTTACCTAGAGCTCGGGATAAGTTAAGCCCACCATTAACACGGCCGTCTTCAGTCACTTTGCCGCCAGCGTAAACAATTCTCTCCAATTCCTCGTCGTCTTCGGGTTTGTGGTCCAACGAGAGATCAAGAGCATTGCTACCACGTGATAACACACAACGCGAATCACCTGCGTTAGCAACCACCAGTTCATTATCGCGTAGTATTGCCACCACTGCTGTGCAGCCACTGTCACTACCAGGCTACAGATTAAGAATAAGAATTCACTAAAGAAGGTACAGATTTTTAATATCCTTTGTAGAATCTGGAAAAATGCACAATTGAAAGCTAATATCTTATGTAAATATGCAAGCAATTCAAATGAAACTGTTTTAAAACCGTGGTTAGCTACCTACTGTAGTAGCTAGTAATAAATTAAAAAATTAGTTACTAGGTTTAAATCCATTAGGGTACAAGTGCCTAATTTTTGGACAATTTTCATTTTTAAAATACCTCACCCAGATACTGTATACGGTATAGTTACAGAAGTTTGCACTTATAGGCTGGACTCTCTTGACAGGTATTAAAGAAGTAATTTAAAACCTGAGCTTTGAGCCAACAGGCTAGAGTGCCTACAGTATCACTATATCTTGGTGTTCGGGTCAGGCAGTGTATGCTGTGACGAAATCAACACTTCTCTACACAGTGAGTGTCTCTTTCCCGTCACGATAAAGATGGTTGAATTCTGTGTATTCAAAAATCCTTCCACTCCCAAGATGCATAGAATCTACTGTAGGTTTAAAATATTTGCCTTACTTTTACTTATTCACACTAATTGAATATAATGACAAAAAAATCATTACCTGTATTTTTTAATTTTTAATATCCTTTGTAGAGTCTGGAAATGCACAATTGAAAGCTAATATCTTATGTAAATATGCAAGCAATTCAAATGAAACAATTTCTCAATAATAGGATCAATCACTATAACAGATCTAATCAATGGATGGTATTGTTCCATGACAAAGATCATTGCAATATTTCATGCTAGATAGTTCGAGTAACCCTTGTGAGCTCAACTGTTTAGGGGTGGCTATTCACCAACAGTGGTAAATTGTCCTCCGAAAAATGGAGGTGAGAACACACCCACCTTTTATTTTTCACAGACAGATTTCACTGTGGCTCCCAGAAGGGTGGGCCAAGCCTCTTCGACAGTACAGTTTATGCCACTATTTTTTTCTACTACATTAAATAGCAATGTTTTTGCAGTACAGTAATACATAACAACAGAGAGTGAAATAGTACCAACACAAGGAAATGAATAGTGTTTACTGTGATACAAAGTCCGACAGCCTTGGTTACAGAGCTGCAACTGTTCACAAGATAACGCCATTTTTACTGAGCACTCATTTATGGTAAAAGAATAAGATGTTTGGTGAAATCAAGCGAACTAACCTCTTCTCGTCCTGGAAACCCATAGTCCTCCACATTACTACCAGACACTTCCTTTTCTTCTTCATCTTCTTCCTCATCTTCTTCATCTTCATCCTCCTCCTCCTCGTCATCATCATCTTCCTCATCTTCTTCAGCATCATATTCTTCCTCATCGTCATCTTCAGAATCAACGTCATCTAACACAACATCTCTTCTTTCTAAAAGTATCAATTTAAAATTCATAGAATTCACAGTAAATGAATTTCAGCAATTAAGTAACGATTGACAATGATATAGGAAATTGTAAATTGAACATAGAAATTTAGTTATGATCCTTGTCATGTTTACAATGTCAAGTCCCATTTTATCAGTCATCATAATGCACAATAAAATTACATAAAATTGGATAAAATAAAAAATTGACAATAAATCAATATATATCAGGTACATTTTTTTTAACTGACTGCATCTGTTCAAAAACTTATTCTTATTACAACTAATGCAATATTTCTTTTCATTTTCTTAAAACAGGTGTAAATGCAATATGAAGGCTAGTTTTAAACTGAGACTTAGTTATATACAGTACAGCCATGAATTATCGCCTCGTATCTGCGCGCACAAACTAGTAGCATGCTCGTAGCACGCTCGTAGGTCCGTTTTGAATGTAGCTACGAACCCTTATGAAGGTCATTGTTATTTTAATTAGCTTTGCAATGATCGTAGGCTCGATCGTCGGTCTGGTAAACAATGCATAAACAATATTGAAATATAGTTTACCAGCTTTCAACACATGAGCAATGTTGTAATTAACTAATAAACAATTAGAATACTGTTCGTTATTTCCTACCTTAGATCAATCATGTTTTAAAACCGTGGTTGGTTAGCTACCTAATGTAGTAGCTAGTAATAAATTAAAAAATTAGTTACTAGGTTTAAATCCATTACCTGGGTAAAAGTGCCTAATTTTTGGACAATTTTCATGTAAAATACCTCACCCAGATACTGTATACGGTGTAGTTACAGAAGTTTGCACTTATAGGCTGGAATCTCTTGACAGGTATTAAAGAAGTAATTTAAAACCTGAGCTTTGAGCCAACAGGCTAGAGTGCCTACAGTATCACTATATCTTGGTGTTCGGGTCAGGCAGTGTATGCTGTGACGAAATCAACACTTCTCTACACAGTGAGTGTCTCTTTCCCGTCACAATAAAAATAGTTGAATTCTATGTATTCAAAAATCATTCCACTCCCAAGATGCATAGAATCTACTGTAGGTTTAAAATATTTGCCTTACTTTTACTTATTCACACTAATTGAATATAATGACAAAAAAATCATTACCTGTATTTTTTATATCACTACTAGATGAACTTGTTTGTTGGTTTTCTTCATTATTTGTTACTTCATTATTTGAATCATCTTTTGTCTCTTCATCTTCCTCCGTTTCCTTAATGTCTCCATTTTCTATCACATCACCATTAACATTTCCATCTCCTTTTCCATTTTGTTCCTTGGGAACATCTGAATCATCCATTTCTAATTTTGCACTTATTTTATCATTTTTAATATTTTTTTCGCCCTCTTTTTCTTCACTCTCCTCCTCAATGTCTGGCTCATTGGAACCATTGCTAGGGAAACGGGGCTGTGTTTTACGAATCATGGGTGAAAGTAAGTCTTTTTTGTCAGCCTTTTTCCTTATTGATCTAATACTACTGGGAGCCTGGCCAAATCTTGCTAGAAGGTCCGCTATTGGCATGCTTGCTTCTTCATTTAAAAGCTCAGTCTCTTCGTCATCTGTGTCAAAGGTTATTAAAGAAAGTATTTCACAATGTAGAGAAATACGAAACTCGCATTAATGTGGCATCAAAGAAATTCCACCAAAATTAAAAATAATACAGAAAATGAAACTATTTGTGAAAGTTTATTTTTGAAAGTTTTTAATTTTAATGATATCGAGTCATGTTTTATTTTTTAAACCATTTAAAAAAAATAAATTTGTTGTATTGAGTTTTATTAAAGTTATTCCATTGTGTAATATTTGTGATGTGAGTTAAAATCCATTCCAGTGTTCTACACTTTTGTATTTCTCACAGTTTTTCCAATTAAAAAAAAAATATCTGTATCACATTAATGTGGCATCAAAGAAATTCCACCAAAATTAAAAATAATACAGAAAATGAAACTATATGTGAAAGTTGATTTTTGAAAGTTGTTAATTTTAATGATATCAAGTCATGTTGTATTTTTTAAACCATTAAAAAAAAATAAATTTGTTGTATTGAGTTTTATTAAAGTTATTCCATTGTGTAATATTTGTGATGTGAGTTAAAATCCATTCCAGTGCTCTACACTTTTGTACTTCTCACAGTTTTTCCAATTAAAAAAAAAAATATCTGTAAACAGTAATGAAATTACTGACAATGATAAAATAAACTTGAGTTATGTCTACTCTAAAAAAAAGATATCAACCAAAGACCAGCCAAATAAGCTAGCAATTTGTTTTCCTATTTGCCCTCAACCAAAATGCAAGATAAATACCGGTACGTACCTTCCTCTTCAGGATCCTCCAGCCCGGCCATCTTTTTCAACTCAGTGATTACTTTTTTCTCTGTGAGATGTTTATCAAATTCTAAGAAAGCAGAGATGAGTCCTTTTTCTACATCACCTTCTTTGTACGACTTATTTTGCTTAATGAATTCTGGCAAGTGCTGGGAACAGTACTGAGCTACCTCCGCTCCTGAGAAAAATAAATCAAATTGATTGGTAAAACATACAGTTTAAGGGTAGATCCCTGATCTAGATATTAAGAACACAATAATTTTGAGCTTTCAAATTTAGGTCTGGCTCCTTGCAGGAGCTTAAAGCAAACAATAGTTGTTTTAAATGTCTGTCGATGTGAAAGACAATAAAATGACACGCAAAATGCATAAGTATCTTATACTAGGTATCTTATACAAGGTTGATATTAGCAAAATAAAAGCAATCTAACAATAATACAGTGCACCCTCCAAATCAAGACCCTTTTCAAATAACAATCTACAATCTATTAACACTAAGCTAACCCTCTATGTGTAGAACGAAATCCGAGAACACCCTAACTTCTCTCAAATTGCAAGGCAAACTGTATTCAGAAAATAGATTTACATAGAATTTGTATTTAGTCTAATGGGTGCTCTTGTGAGTAAGCCTGGATCACAAGCTCTTTTATTGAGAACACTCATTATAGACAATAACAAATTCTATGTCAGTTCGTTTTTATTATGACTAAAGTGTTTTAAATCATTACCTTGTTCTTTATCTTTCATTTACATCCACAAAAAATAATAAAAACTGCATTAATAAAAATAATTAAAAAAATAATATTAATAATAACCATAAGGAAAAAATATAACTAATGATAGTAATGATATGACAAAAATAACAACATAATGACAATACTCATAGACATTAAATAATAATAATAATAATAATTTTGGCTTATATAGCGCATTATGCTAAAGCCTCAATGCGCTTAACAGTAAAAATAAAATTCGGGAAAAAAAAAAATATAATTTATACATATCTAAATATGTATATACATATATATACGTCTCTTATACACATCTCATCTGAATCATCCATTTCTAATTTTGCACTTATTTTATCATTTTTAATATTTTTTTCGCCCTCTTTTTCTTCACTCTCCTCCTCAATGTCTGGCTCATTGGAACCATTGCTAGGGAAACGGGGCTGTGTTTTACGAATCATGGGTGAAAGTAAGTCTTTTTTGTCAGCCTTTTTCCTTATTGATCTAATACTACTGGGAGCCTGGCCAAATCTTGCTAGAAGGTCCGCTATTGGCATGCTCACAAAATTTACAACAATCATTTTGAAAAGAAGCCCCCTCTTTACTTTGCAAAAGTAGCCTCGAAAAGAAGCCCATCTAAAGTTCGCAAAAAATAGAAGCCCAAGGCTTTAATTTGAGGTTTACGGTATATATATACTGTAGGACTATATGTATATATACTGGGGCCAAGTTGACCTGCTTCCAATTAATATACCTAGAACTTGGCGTGGCACTCATGGATACCCTTACAGCACAGTTCAATGAGAATGCTTCAAATTTTAAAAGTTTCTGTATTTTTGGTTTGTGAAAGTAAAGAGTTGTAGGGCAAATATAATAATGAAATTCAAATAAAAGATTAAAGTATTTGGCCTAATTTACTTTCATTTCGCCTAATTTATTTGTTCTTACCTCCATGGCCATCATATACACCAAATAATGATGTATTTTCATCAAGTTCTTCTATACAGTTATGAGAATCCTGAAATGATTAATAATTGTGTCAAAATCAATGATGTAATAAAGATGTTTTTAATTGTATTCTGGGAAAAAATTAACCTTTATTTCATGTATTACACCAAATATAACATCTTAATAGCAGGACAAAGCTACATAAACTGGATGTTTTCAATGGAACACATTATGTCATGTGGTATGAAAGGCAACAAGAGGAGCCAACACCCAACAATGAACAATGAAATGATGGTAGAGGCCTAGGGGTCTAAATAATGCTACATGTATGTCCTAGATCGGCTGTCCCGAGGCAAAACAATGTAACTGACATTTTGACTGTCGATTTTGAAATAATATCATTTGGGAGTATATATCAAACACGTCTGAATTACCTGTGAAAATTTCAGGTCTAAATAATGCGTCATTTCAGATATACAGTAGCACCACCTATCTTTAAGCACAGAACTTAAAATCTAGTGGTTTCCATGGAAAAACAACACAACTACAAGATTACGGGGCAAAACAATGTATCTACGATGAAGATATGATGTTTTGCCTCGGAATAGTATTCAAAAATTGTCTTGAGCTAATGGAGTTTGGCAAGGCAAAATCAAATGGTTATTGGTGTTTTTATATCAATAATCTTAACAGCGATGTATCAACAAGCTAGCTAATGCATATCATTGTCCCAAACTTGATAAATTCCAAAAATATGTCTTACTTGCATCAATACAGAGCCTGACATGTTTCCGAGGCAAAACAATGTATCTTGTAATTATCACTAATAACTTTGCAATAAACAAACAGTTGTATTTAAGATTTTACATATAATCACAATGTCTATAGATATACAACATTGCGAAATTTCAAAAGGGTACGACAATTTATTGCAAAGTTCCGAACATGCAAACTTTAACTCTATTTTTCTCCAAAAGTGAAAATTTAAATTTACGTTGTTTTGACAGGGAACGGCCGCAATGCTGTTGGATTGTCTAAAAATAAAATGTTTTCACATCATGAGAAATAATCATGCAATTTGACAGCGGTGCAGAAAGATAAGTTGCCTGGACTTAAATTTACTGAACTTCCTGAGTCTTACTTTACATACACACTTCTAGCCCAAGACTAAGTAAAAAATTTGAGGCAGGGATTTGCAATGCATGGTCACTGGTGTAGATGAATGCCATCAATGTCTTTTTATTTAATTCAATATGTATATTTATAATTTCAGAGTATTAGGATATTTATTATTCATTCAATAAATCAAACTGACTGAAAATATACAACAAAAAAGTTCATTACATTCATACATCATGGTAACAAACTTGTTTGCAGATGAAAGGGTCCTATCCTAGGGCCTATACTGTGTATAGGAATGGATTAGGACATACTGTTAGGCCTAATATAAAACTTCTTGGCTTTTTGTTAATAATCATCCTTCACACTTATTAACTTTTGTCATCAAAATTGTTGTAATTAAAAAAGACTAAGTAGAAAATTGATGGCAGTGATGACCAGTTTAAAGCAAGTTATAGGTTTACATGCATTTTTTTAAATGTCTTAAACAATCCTTTTCAAGAATTGTATAATTTTTTGGTATTTCTCGATTGTTTTGATTGTATTTTCACATTGCTTTTGTGTTTGAAATAAAAAATGATTGAAATATATATTATCACCCGTTCACTTACAAGTTTAGGTACCTCCTGTTTGACTAATAAGCCTGGTATATACAAAAACATTGTAACTACAGAATGATATTGAAGATAGATGTTTGTGATGATGATCACCTAAGCCCTAGGCTAGCCCGCTGGGTCAGGCACTACACTAAGATGCGGGCATGGCATGGTAAGTTCAGCCAAGCCTCACTACATTACCTCCTGTGCTAACCTCCAACCTTGCATAGAACTGACACCGAAAGTAAACCTTTCGGTCTTGCCTTCCTCTGAAGTTTTCACTAGATTTGGCTCAGATAGGTATGCCCCCATGACTTAAAATGGGTTTCAAGTTTATGAATTAAAAAATCAGCCGATGAATACAGGTAATTCATTAATTATAAAGCCAAAACACACGTGCAATTTACACCTAATTGTCTTCGACGTTTTGCTAGCAATTCATTCCCTCGCTTTTCATTGTAGAGGAATTAACCAATGATATTTTGTCATCACATAATAATGATAACGCCCCCTAGAAAAATCCAAGCGGAACATGGTCAGCTTTCAGAGTCTTACATATTTTTGTAATTTTGACAACATTTCTGTCCCGAATCATAACTTGACCGAAGACTTTGCAATTGTCATTTAGTTGCTATATCAAGACATTGAATTGCCTTGATGTAAGTATTATTATTATTATTATTATTATTATTATTATTATTATTATTATTATTATTATTATTATTATTATTATTATTATTATTATTATTATTATTATTATTATTATTATTGTTATTGTTATTATTATTATGAGTTAAATAATGAATCATCGAATCATTTTGTCTATTCAAGAACCAACAATAATGTGACATACCCATGGCATCATGACTTAGCGTATGCAGGGTGTCACAAAGGGACACATCAATTCGCCAGGCTGTTAAATACACACAAAAATAAAAATACAGATTTATTGAAACTACACTGCGCACGTGCTTATCTGTAAACAACGTGATTCAGTGTGGGGATGCACGTATGGGAGGGAATTTTACAGATAGAGTGTAGACCACCTCAGTCCCACCATAGTTGGGGCCGAGATAAAAAAAAAATTATGATTATAGTACCGACGAATTTCAAAATAATTAAGTCTTGGGCCGTGGCCCAAGACTTGGCGACTGGGAGGGAGCAGGGG